TAGCCATTCCAAAACCAAAACAGCCAGATGTTGGCTCTGGCATTGTGAATTTTGAAACAGGTTTGCAGCAGTGGATTGCTTCTCTGAAGCAAGTCTGTCCTGGAATGATTGATCCTGCTGCCTCAGACCAGCTCTGGTCACGTTTCAGAATTTGGGTACGTGCTGAAGCCCTCAAGTTGCAGGATATTAACTATGAGCAGGCACAACAGAACTTCAGCAAGCTGCTGAAGGAAGTTGAAAGTCAGCTGCCACAGGAAGACGTGCTCCTTCTGGATAGTGAGCCATGGTCTGAGAAGCGCCCAACTTCAAAAGTGCAGCCAGAAGAAGATCATACAATTCAAGCTGAAGTCAGTCAAGCTGAAGATGTTGCAGAAAGCTCTCAGAAGCTTCCTGCTTCTGATGTTTCTCAAGCTGCCCTGGACAGGCAGACTCTGGAAGAGCTGAAGCTGAATGATATTCGTCTGCAGCAAAGAATGGATGAAAATGATCAGAAGATGGAGGAAAGGATGGATGTACAGGACAGCAAGATAGATACAGTAGTCAGCATGGTGCACAAGCAGACTGAAACTGCTGATCAGATTAAGGCAATGCTGGAGACTCTGTTCACACGCTTTCCTCCCCAACCTTAGTTTTTCATTCATGATATTTTCAATGTTTTTCTTTGCATATCCTTTGTATTGTTTTGTCTGGCTCTGAATATTTTAATATAACAAGTTTTTCTGCTCTGATAGTTTTAGCACATCACTTACACTTTTTGATTGCTGACAAAAAGGGGGAGAACAAGAATGATATTTTTCAATAACAGATTACTAAGACAAAAAGTCTCAAACATTCTAAATCTGATATACTTGAATGTTTTCTGTTTTTGCATAAGTCTACAGGTACAAGAATGCTCTCTGATACACTGAATCCCAAAGCCCTGATACTCTGATCCAAAGCAAAGCTCTGATAAAGCTCTGATATTCTGATCTGAAGTTCTGATAATCAAAGCTCTAACATTCTGATGTTCAAGAATTCAATAAAGATCTGATCTTGAAGAACTCTTGGAATTAAAAAGGGAAGTAATAAATTCAGGGGGAGTATCTCCGATCCTATCTCTGATATCTCCTTATCCCTTATCTTTGATAACTCCTTATTTAATTCTGATGCAACTTATCATTTAGTTATCTCTGATACTTTTTCACGCTATTTTCAATTAAAAAATATCTAGTTTTTGTCATCATCAAAAAGGGGGAGATTGTTAGAACAAAGTTTGAATCTACTACCCTAAGTTTAAGTTTTGATGATAACAAAATGAAAAGATATATTAATTATGTGTTTCATGTAAGAACTATTTGCTACCTAAAATATTACTTTCTGTTTTGCAGAAACTCTGATAGGTATCAGCAAGAGTACATCATAATCAGCATCAGAATATTGGATATCAACATCAGCATCAGAAGATGCTATATCAGATACCAAGATCAGAAGAACAACTCACGCTTATGCTGAAGCTTGATGAACAGAACTGCGCTCAACACTCTGAACTCTGATAAAGACAACAACAGTTCATCAGCACTTAAGCAGCATCAGAATGAGCCAAAGCCAGAACACGCCTTAGTTGCAACGGTACTGTGCATTCAAGACGAGTTATTATCAACGGCATCATTCCAGACAAGATCTGCTTAATAAGGAAAGATTGTTATTGGCATTGAATCAGAATTATTGCTCCAACGTTCACTAATTTCAATGCTATATAAACAAGTCAATGAAGATTGAATTGGCTAATGCTCTACAACAATTTCCACGCCTAAAAGCTATTCATCATCTTCTTATTCTCAGTTTGCTAAAAGCTCCAAAAATTCCTTACTCAATTATTTTAGCAATCTAGTTTCCATAAGCTTAAGTTGTGTAATATCACAGTTGTGATAAACTGTTTTGTAGAAAACATTCACACACCTAGATTTCAATTCTTTGTAAGAAAGTGATTCCTTGACAAACCGATTTGTGGTTTGCATCAAGAAGGCTTTAGCAGTTGTTAAAGCAGATTGTAATATTCAGTTGAATATAGTGGATTAAGACCTCGTTGGAGAGAGGCGAAATCACCTTGACGGGTGGACTGGAGTAGTTTGAGATCAAACGAACCAGGATAAAAATATCGTGTTCATTGCATTGATTTTCAGTTTTACAATTCAACCCCCCTTCTTGTGTTTTTCACTTCTTCAGTCTCTTCCATTCCAAATCATCAAACTTGCTTTATTCAAACAAAGCCCAATCGTCTTATTTCGAATCATAATATCAAAATCTTCAGCCAGCAGAGGGAGAGAGGAGAACTTTAATTTTTGGTAACTGCTTCCATATATAGAGTCCATTTAGTTGAGGAAAAATAGGTAACGTTCCAAAATTCTCGTTACTGAAGCGTGGAGAAAATCCAGGTGAACGTGCTTTTAGTACGCTTCAGTGGCGAAAGGTTCGTAACTGCTTGGATCGTGGCGAGCGTGGCGTGTATTGTGACGTGGGGCACATGATTCATATTTGTCCCGGTCGTAACATTAGACATGCCGAGGGGCACGAAAGAGAAACTTGTCCCTGTCGTAACACCTTGTGGCAGGTGGCACACTTTTACTTACATAAATGTTGTGTTTTGCTGTTTAATAGCCATTTCTTCTTAATTTTTTCTATTCTTTTTCTTCCTTTTCTCATTTATGCCTTGCAAATGCTAAGTACCTGAAATATGTTTCAAAAATTACAAAAAGGGATAAAACGTGACATAATAATTGAAGAATCAGATATTTAATCTATGTAATTCGGGCGAAAAATACTATATCTTTTTGGGTTATCAGTTCCCCTTTATCTAAAATTTGTATAAAAAATGTTGAAACTTTAGGTATGGAGTTCCTCTTCTAGGGTTGCCTCTTCCTCTCAAACTCATTCTCTTCTAGTTAGTTGACTCTCAATAACTCGCTAAATCTTCGATAAATTTTAAAGACAACGAGTGAGATGCATGAAACATTTTAACAAGGGAATATAATATTTTAAAAGAATTTAATGATTTAGAAATTTTTTATTGTTTTGATAAAACAATATGAAAAATGGTTAAATTGATAAAAATCTATTAGATATTTTGTCCAAATTGAATTTGATGATTTTGAAATGACATCTAAATTAAAGAATTTAAATTCCTCTGAAATTCCATAAAATGTGAATGTTCAAATTGAATGTTATTATTAATTCAAAATTTGCAAGTTGATCCTTGTATTTTCCATATTTTACAATTTGACCCTTAAAATTATCCAATTTTTTGTAAATTAGTCCGTAATATTTTACAAATTTTACAAATTGTTCCCCTTAATGTTTAGAAATTGCAACTTAATACCTATAAGTTTTCTAATTTGATCCATTTTTTATATATTTATAAGAATGATCACAAAAATTTAACAATGAATAATTCAATTACTCCATCCAAATAAAAAAAAAGTGAATTTCAATTAAATAATTTAAATTGTTTAAAATTTAAAATTTCTTAAAAAATTATAATTATCTCATTCATATACACTATGAGTAAGGCTTATAAACTTGGTATGTTTGTTAGTTAGCACTGTAAAATTTTAGAAAAATGAATTCTAAAGGATTATGTTTATATTTTGATGTGTATTTATATATTTTTTAAAACAAATAGAAATATTATATTATATTCTAATTTATTATATTATTTTTTAATCTTTTTAAAATATTAATATGTATTAAAATATGAATATAACTTTTCAAAATTCTTTTCTCTCTCCTCTCAAAAATCAAATCTCAAAAAGATTTTAAAATAAAATTAGGTGTTTATGACCAACAAAATGTAGTGTTTTAAAACATTTTTTTTTTTAGTTTATTTAAACCAAATGTCGTGTCTACCAATTTGATCAACCTAAGTTAACTTTATTATTTCCTCTTCATGTTGTGTCTTTAACCATTTAAAAGGGAATACAAGAATTGTGTCAAATTTCAAGTCAATGGAGTATGAGAGAAGACGTTTCTTATTATATTGTGTGAAATTAGTAATGTAGAAAATGCATAATTTTAAGAACTATACTAATTTTTGGATAAAACTTAATGAAGTGGATTTGCTTATTATGTATTTACCGCGTAAGAATTTAATTATTATGAGAAAAGAATCTTCCTCACTATCACCACTCACTTTCCACGAAATTCACATAAGGTTACTCTTGTACTATATTATTTATACTTTTATAAGCTGTTATCAGTCTCTATCACTCTATTAATGTTATAAATTAGGAGTAATAGCTACATACAAATTCTATTTTTTTTCTCCCCAAAACATAATATTCCTTATTTCTCCATTACTTTTAAATAAATAAAATTATAATAATTCTAATAAATTAAATTAAATTTTTGCAACTTGTCAACACTAATATTTTTATTTTAATTTTTATCCACCAATATTAGAAAAACTAAAATAAAATACTCTATATATTAGAGAGTTCAATTTTAATACAAATCAATTTTAAAAAGACTAAAACAAATATTTGCAAATAATAATATCAAATAAAAAAAATTAGAGATTTTAAAAAATTATATGGAGGAAAATTTAAAAAATTGGAAGGAGAAATGTATATTTATACTTTACTAATTTTATTTGCAATTCTGCATATTTAAAAAAAAGTTTGACTAAAATCCAAAAAAAAAGTTTCCCAATTTGGTCACTAATGTATAAACAGACAACACTTACACTAGCAAGTTATATCAGTTTTTGAAACAGAAACAAAAACACCCACATGCTCAAGGATATGGAACACGAGGATCACACACGCGATGAATGCATTAGTTCTTAAATAAAATAAAATTAAAATAAAATAAAAAAAGAAAATACTTATATAAATAGACCCATGTAGATGAAGTTTCATAGCAAAATACATATAGCATAATAGAAAGAGAGTTGATGATGAACATGAAGACTATGATGAAGTTAGCTTTGTTGATTTTTCTCTTAGGATTCTCCGCAACCGTTGTTCATGCTCGTTTCGATTCAGCTTCCTTCGTCAATGAAGTGCTCTACAATGGTAGCAAATACACAACACCATGCTGTGATTCTTGCATTTGCACTAAATCAATTCCTCCTAAGTGTGAATGTCATGATGTTGGAGAAACATGCCACTCAGGTTGCAAAAATTGCTCTTGTTATTTTGTTGAACCACGAGAGTGTAGTTGCGATGATATCACTAATTTCTGTTACAGAAAATGTAACTGACTATGTTAGTATATACCATGCATGTGATGAAACAAAGTCCATTAGGATCTGTTTTTAATTAATTATGTGTATGGATATAATTAGTCCAATAAAAGTTACTCCTTGACCATACATGGAGTTTGGTTCAACTATTTGTCTTTAATCATTTTTTAAATTCTCTCTTTCTTTGCTTAGTTAGAGTGAAAAAGAGAAAATACAAATGTTATTACTTGTAAAAGTTGAGAGTATTCCTAGTATTTGCCTTATTTATTTTACTTTACAAACTTAATTTCAGTTAAATGTTTAAGACTGTGGCTTATAGTGTTGTAATCATAAAAAAAAATGACAATGCTAATATGGAAGAAAATGGGGGTGGATAATAATAAACACAAACAACTCTCGCAGAATCAAAACATCAGTGCAAAGTGCTATTGTCAGAGATCACCATGATGGGTTTTTTTGATAATTTCTTTGTCAATTTGGGTGAGGTGAATGACTAGAGAGAAGAAATTATTACGATTATGATAGCAAACCACTATAAACCCTAAAATAGTAATTCTAAATAAATGGCTTAATCTCAAAAGTTTTCCAAACATTTGGCCAAACTTTTTCCTTTTCCTGCTCTCAAACTATCATAATTCAGACAACCTTTTTGTCCTCTTCAATTTTCTTGTTATCCTCATTCCATGCATCTTTAGGTTTGAATTATACTACATCATTAACAACAGTAGTAGGTATGAAGGGTTCTTTTTCAACCCCATTTCAATCTTTTACGCTGTGAGATTTAATGAACAGTTTCGTTCGTATTTTCTAGAAATCGCGGTATTCACCGGTAAAACAAGGTGGTATGTTTATACTAAAACCTTTACCTAACAAGGGTTTAGAGGTAGTTATTTATACTAGATCTAGGAATAATTTAGCTAACCCTCGCTATGATGCAAAATGCAAATATTTGATGTAACATAAGATGAGGTGAATTAGAATTGTTAGATTTTTCTTGCTTAGGCTCTGAATTTATGATAATGTAAATTTGTTGGAAGCAGTGTTATGTTTATGTATCTTGTTCAAAAATTATAATTTAGAAATTTAAAATGCGGAAAATAAATATGACACAATAATTTTTTTGGTTTATCTTTTCCAAATAAAAGTTAGTCCACTCTCTCTATCTGCTTAGAGGATTTTTCACTATGATTAAAATTTGTGCACAAGTATCATGTAACACCCTTTATCTTTTATAATTAATTGTGAATTTTGTGAATTATGTCGTTGGGTGTGTTAGAATATTGGTGGGAATATCAGCGTTGAGTGAGAAATTGTTGATAATTAATAAATATTAGTTTATGTGGTTTATTAATAAATAATAAAATAAAATAGAATAATGGGATGAGTAGATGATGAATTGATGTTGTGATATGTTTATTTCCCTTAATTGATGTACCATATGATATGATATGTTGGGTTTGCTGGAAGTCAAAACTTGGGGTTTGGGGTCAGCTGCAAGGCTGAAAAATAAGAGAAATCACATGGAAAAGTCGTTTTCTAGGCTCTATTACGGCCTGTAATAACCATTACGGGTGGCCATAAGAGCCCTCTGGATTTTGGTACCAGAGGAGTGCGAAAAATAAAATTCTGAGATGCATTGGAAATATAAGAGAAAGAGTTACAAATTTTATGTTGAAGCCAAAAGTTGATTCAAAGTACAGAAGTCTCAAATACTTAGTTGAAGCTCAAGTATTTAGTTTTGGGCCTTTTTTTTTTTCCGACCCGGTTGGGTTAGAACCCAAATTTTATGTTTTGCCTATACCTAGCAGCAACGAGTACTGTTCATTCCTCTCTCGATTTTTCTTTCACGATTTATTTTCTAAAGTTTTTGCACGTTTGTAATGGAGAACTAATCCCTAAGGCGAATTCTGTTGCTTACTGGTTTCATCGTTTTGAAGTTATTTTAATTCCAATTTAATTTTGATTTTTGTTCAATTCTTTCTATGAACTCGTTTGCTTAACTTGATTGTTGCTCATAGGATATAATTGATTAATTTTGAGTGTTGCATTTTCCTAATGTTAATCGCGTGTAAGCATAGCTTCTTCATTAGCTTCGCCTAATCTTTAAACCGTCATGCTTAATGGGGTAAAAAATAACATAATTCACTTGATATTGATAGCGCTTTTCTAATAGATTTCATAATCGAATAGGATCAAATCGGTTTAGGGGATTGGAATTACAATAGCCGATGATAAGTCGGAACCCGAATCAGTAGGAATAATTGTTTTAGCTTATTTGATAATCACTTTCTGTTAATCTATTTTCTTAATCGAAACAAACCCCCATAATTTCTTCAGTTGGTAAAAATCATACAAAAATCCTTGTGATACGACTCGAGTCATTGTCGATAACTACAATTTTAAAATTACTTGTTTTGATCTATGCGCGACAACATATCAAATTGGCGTCGTTGCTGAGGATTCTTTTTGTTTTTAACCGTTAATTGAGTCATAGGTGTCATTGTTGTGTTTTGGCCCCGCCGATTTGCTATTTTGGCCAATTCGCGTCCGGACGTACAACCTTGTCTGCAAACACGGTTTTCAAAAAATTTTGTCTGTTTCCAAATTTGTTCCCTCATTTTCCTAAATTCATCTTTTTTTCTAATTTTTATGAATTGTTTACTCTTTTCATAGTTTCGAAAACTTCTAAAAACAATCTCAACATTCTTATTTATCTTAATTAGATCAAATTTCATGTTTTTGTATTTTTCTGAATTTATTTTAATCGTTTTTTTGCCTTACATTTGTTACTGTTTATTTGTGACATTGTTGGTATTTTTGTGTTTGTTGTTACATGGCTGATCAAAGAACATAAAAGAGAGCTTGTTGTTTCTGATGTTAATTATAATGGTTTGTGTATCGAATATGCTGACGTTACTATTCTATTTGAATTGAAAAATGGTTTAATACACTTGTTGCCATGGTTTTATGGTCTTGCAGGTGAGGATCCGCATAAGCATCTGAAGGAATTCCAGGTTGTTTATTCTACACCATTGAGACTTGAAGGAATAACAGAAGACAATATCAAACTGAGAGTTTACCCATTCTCACTTCAAGGAGCTGCAGAGGATTGGTTGTATTAACTTCAACCTAACACCATCAAAAACTGGAATGACCTAAAAAAACTGTTTTTTGAGTAATATTTTCTTGCCTCTAGAGCTGCATCAATCAGAAAAGAAATGTGTGGTATCAAATAGGACAAAGAATCATTGGTAGAGTACTGGGTGAGATTCAAACAATTAGTATACAGTTGCCCTCAACACCAGATTACCGAGCAGTTACTTATTCAGTACTTCTACGAGGGATTGCTACCAATGGATAGAAATATTCTAGAAGCTGCTTGTGATGGAGCACTTGTTGATAGGACTCCAACTGCTGCCAAGGCCTTAATTGAGAACATGTCACTTAATTCCCAACAGTTCACAACTAGAAACAATTCTACAATTCTGAAATGAGTGAGTGAAACCCAAACTTCTTCTTTCAACCGGGCCTTAGAAATCAGACTTCATGAACTTACCTCATTAATCAAACAGTTGACAGTAGGAAAAACTCAACCAAAAAAGTTATGTGGAATCTGCACTTCCCCTTAACATCCAACAAATTTGTGCCCCATCTTGCAAGATTATTCGGTTGATAAATTGCCTCAAGCATATGCATCAATTCTTTACAATCAAGGCAACATTCCTGACTTGTTCACTAATAATCACTATCCCAATTAGAGGAACCATCCAAATCTTCGATATGGGAACCCCCAAGCACATAACCCCCTACAAGTAACCACATTTTCACCCTCTGGACCTTCACTAGGGGACCTTGTCAATCAAATGGTTGTACAAAATCTTTAGTTCCAACAAAGAACTGATTCTAGCATTTAGACGTACAAACACAGATTGGACAACTTACCACTTTAATGAACACCATGCAGCAAGCCAAGGATCGAACCAACTAACTGCCCAAATAGTAGTGAATCGTAATGTGAGTGTAATCTCCTTGATTTCCAGAAAAGTTGCAGAACCAGCCCCAGAAAAAAATTAAAAAGTTCTTGAGGTAACACATGAACCTCTTATTGTTATTGAGGTTGAAAAAGAATATGTGCCATAAATCCCTTTCCCACATAAAGTAGCTAAAACTAAGAAGATGAAAGAGGGAGATAAATAGAGGGATATTTTAGATGTATTCAGGAAAGTTGGGTGAACATTCCACTCCTAGATGTGATTCAGTAGGTTCCGAAATATGAAAAACTTCTGAAAGAATTGTGCACACACAAGACAAGGAAGAAGGGAAATGAGAGAGTGAATATGGGAAGAAATGTTTCAGCCTTCATTCAACCTAAACATGCACTTGAAAAGGCTAATGTTTCAGCCCTCAATCAGGCCATGCCACAGAAATGCAAGGATCCAAGAACTTTTTCTATTCCATGTACCATTGGGGATAGTAAATTCAGAAATTTCATTCTAGACATAGGAGCTTCCACTTATGTTATGCCTACTTATGCTTATAAAAATATTGATCTTGGACCTTTGCAGGATACATGTTTAATTATTCAGTTGGCGAACATAAGCAATACTCACCCTATAAGAGTAGTAGAAGATGTGCTTGTCCAAGTTAATGACTTTCTTTTCCTGCAGAGTTTTACATTATGGACATGGCATAAGAAAAAAATTCAAGCAGATCAACAATCATTTTAGGTAGACTGTTCATGAAATCGGCAAAAATAAAAATTGATGTTGATGATGGAACATTGTCTATAAAGTTTGGTGATATCGTTGCTAAATTTAACCTTTTTGATGCTATGAAGCATCCCGTGGAAGAACATTTTGTTTTTCACATTGAAGTACTTTCTTATTTGGTTTAAACTTATTTTCCATCATTGTCTAACTTAGAGGATACTTACTCATGTGATACTTGCTTTGTTTGTGTTGAGATAGAGGTTTCCCTGCAGGTTGACATTGTTCCTGCAGATGAAGTTATTGATGAAGAAGTTGCCTATGCAGCTGAAGTTCTCGATGTTTCTGCTGCCCCAACTACATCATTCAGTGGACAACCACTTTCTTTAGAGCCTCAATCACTTCTTGGATATTTAAATTATTCTTCAATGATTAAATTTGAGCAGGAAGAGAAATTAGTGCAGGAACATAAAAAAGGAATTGGATGGACTTTAGCTTACATTATTGATATTACTTCATCCATTAGTATTAAAAGGGTACCTTAAGATGATACAAAGGACAATGGACTCTACCCGGAGCTAATCCATGAGGATCCCATTTTGGAAGGAGAGACTGTAGAAGAGAATTCAATAGCAAAGGTTGTTTATGTGATGACCTATCCTCCTTGACTACTCGGTTGCGTTCTTTCCTTTGTCTCACTCTTATTTAATATTTATGTCCTTTCATTGAGGACAATTCATGTTTTATGTCTGGGGGAGGGAACCATTTCTTTGTTTTGTTTTCTTTCAGTTTTGTTTTTTGTTTTTTTTTTGTTTTCTTTAAGTGAAAAATATTTTTTTTAAATGTTTAAAATGCATCTTTTAAAAGTTTTAGGCTATAGATTAATTTGAGATTAGATTGTAAAAACATGGAAAAAATTTACAAGATCGGTATCATTTTAACACCTTAAGTCTTCAGAATATGAAAATCAATTTGAATACTTGTTATGACATAGCCTTGAGTTCTCATCTTTTAATAGCTCTTAAGTAGTTTATATAGCAGTCAACACCATCTAAAAATCACATGTTAAGTAAGTAAGATAATGCAAATAAGTGAATGATCTTGTGCTTAATAATAAATCTTAATTGGAATTCGCCTTTTAAGATAGGTGACCCTCATCCGGTCACTTAGCGTAACAGTTGTGAAACCTTCAAGAAAAAATTTGTTGTTAAAGCGGTTAATTTTGAAATTTTGATAAGATATGGATCATATTCCCTAACAGGCTTATTTACCATGAGTATGAATAGATAACATGCTTAATGTGATTGCATAATAATGAAAGAGAGCAAAAAGGAGGATGAGTAAGTTAGGCTTAAGCATAATAACATGATTTAGATTGGTTTGTATATAAGGGAGACTCGTGATCTCACAATTGCAGATTTGTGTTCTTACGATATCCTCTTTGTGAAAGATTAGTATATATCGATACAATCTTAACCAAATAAGACTTTGTAGCTTAGAATAAGTATCTGAATGCTATTGTTTTTCATAAGTATTGATACTATTTTGCTCGAAGGGCAAAAGTTCAAATGTGGGAGAATTTGATCAGTGTGTTTTAATGTATATTCTTCTACTATTGTACTTAGGCATTTCATTAGTTTTCTTTGTTATTTTTACTATTTTATTTTGTTTTTATATATTAGTTTATTTTTGGCTTTATTTAATTTTCGTATTTTATTTTTAGCATTAACTGTTATTTGAAACATCTTTATTGTGTAAACCATAACTCGAGCTACGGGAATCAGATTGACGCATTATGAGATGTGTTGGAAAGCTAAAAGAAAGAGCTATCAATTTTGTGTTGAATCCAAAAGCTAATTCGGAGTGAAGTAGTCTCAAATAATTAGTCGAAGCTTCAAGCTTGAGAAATATTTAGTTTTTGGCCGTGTTTTTTATGTTTTTCGACCTGGTTGGGTTAGAACCCGAATTTTTTGTTTTTCTTATACCTAGAAGCCGCGAGTACTTTTCATTCCTCTCTCGATTTTACTTTTCAATATTTTTTTAAAGTTTTTGCACGTTTGTAATGGAGAACTAATCCCTGAGGAGAATTATGATGCTTACGAGTTCCATCCCTTTGAGGTTATTTTAATTCCAATTTAATTTTGATTTATGTTCAATTCTTTCTATGAACTCGTTTGCTTAATTCGATTGCTTTTTCTTGCTTAACTTGATTGCTGCTCATAGGATAGAATTGATTAAATTCTATTGTCGCATGTTCCTAATTTTAATCGTGTACTGTTAACCTAGCTTCTTTGTTAGCTTCGCCTAATCTTTAAACCGTCATGCTTAATAAGGTAAATAGGGAAATAATTCACATAATATTGATAGCACTTTCCAATTTATTTCATAATCGAATAGGATCTAATCCATTTAGGGTATTAGAGTTACAATAGCCAGTGATAAGCTGAAACTCGAATCAGTAGGATTAGCCGTTTTAGCTTATTTGATAATCACTTTTTGTTAATCTATTTTCTTAATAAAACAAACCCCCCATAATCTCTTCAGTTGGTTAAAAATCATACAATAATCCTTGTGATACGACTCGAGCCATTGTCGTTAACTACATTTTTAAAATTACTCGTTTTGATCCGTGCACGACAACAAATCAAGCATTATGATTCGTAACATCCATTGCGGGCGGGGGGGGGGGGGGGGGGGGGGGGGGGTAACAGCTCTAGGGATTTTGTGTTGTGAAGTCTTTTTCGCCATGACTTTGGCTCCGTAAGTCCAAATCGAGCATCATTTGAAGCGTTAGGAAGCTAACGCACAGAGTTATAACATGATAGAGTAATCATTTGAGTATTATTATTATGTCTCCTATGTTTATGAAGTTTATCGTTTGCATGTTCTGCTAATGAATTATTATATCGTTGTGATAATATGATGTTATTATGTCTTGTTATGATGATGAATTTTGATGTTTTTATTATGGTCACTATAACAAATAACGCATCTACATCGGATGCGAAATGCGTTTTACCACGGCATCTGAGGTGAGGTAAATGAGGTCTTCATGAAAAGTAACAACTTATCACCTAGGTGTTTAAAACACCGAGGTAATATTTTTTAGGTCATATGTTGGAACCCTCGTTTCTGCACTTTAATTATTTGCAAAAACTAGCGTATTTTATCTAGGTTTTTTAAGAAAATCGAGGGGTTTTTTTATTAAAAATCATTACATTGTTTACCCAGAAATTCAATTTTTTTACACAGGAAAAAAACTAATTATCCAGAAGATCATCTATTGGATCTTTAATTCCTTGATATCTTGGGCAAGATCAAATACTGGGAAATTAATTTCATGAAGACCTTGATTTTATACCAACAAAAAAAAGGGTTAGGTAAATTAATTTCATGAAGACCTAGATTCTAGATCTTCAAATCATATAATTTTAGGGTAGATCAAATGCTAGGTGCAAGGAGATCTTCAATTTCTTTTGTATGCGTTTATTTTTTATATGAATAAAAAAGAGGGTTAGACACAAAAAAGGGTTACATAAATAAATAATCTTTTGCTCAAATAAATATTTAAGAACCCAAACCTTAAACCTAAATAATGTTCTGCTCTTGTAATCCATCATAGAGAACTCTTCATAGAAAACACTCTTGCAAATCTTAAACTCTTCATGATGTTACAATTTTTTAGAGGCACAAGTCTTGATATTCAGAATGCTTTTATAATGAGAGGCACGATAGAGATTTTTTATGTTTCACGCAAATCACTAATGGTAATGTGTTGAGCGTTGATAGTCATGAAATGAACGACAAGGAATGGATTAAGGATTTGATAAATGTCATCAATTTTAACGCTAAATTTCCCTCGGTTTTTAGAAAACCGATGAGTTAGAACATTTAATTTAAAAATGAAAAATACAATTAATAGAGAAGTTAGAACAACATGGTGGCGCTCATTCACTGAAATTATATAACTAGAATATCAATGATCATCTTTTTTTTAAATTCGTAACGTCTCTTTTAGATTATCAAGAAGGCTTTTGAGCTATTTAAATGTCTAATTACCAACTCATTGATTCAAAGTCTTTTCCTATTTTCAACGTCTCATTACCAACTCTTTGTTTCATTTTTCTTATCACAAATGGATGCAAATTTGTTGTATGTTATCAATGAAAACTATGTTAACTTCAATGATATCGAAGGTAAAAATAAAAAATTGAGGGAAGTTGTTAACAAACATAAGTTGAGTGGTCACTTTAACATTCTACATGACCCTATATACACTAACCTTATTAAGGAGTTCTAGATGAATGCATCTGTTGTGCCAGCTGGTCATAAAGAAATCATCCAGTCATATGTCAATGAGACTCATTTTTTCATTACTCCATCACTGGTTGCTTTGAAAATCAAATGTGAAGAGTTTGGTAGTTGTGTTGAACATTATGAATTCAACAGTGTCTATGCAAACCACCTTCACCTACTTTATACCAACAAAAATAATCTCTTTATTCTTGCTTCTCTACGCTCTGTTCCAAAATTTTGGTTTCAACTTCTAGTGTCAAATCTCCGCCCAAGAGAGAAACACATGGAAATGCTTACTTGGTATGAAAAGCATCTCTTGTTATTCCTCACCTACAATATTAGAGTTAATATTCCTCTTACCATTTTCAACTTCTTGAAGAAAATGATAGAGACTTCTCGTAAGGAAACCACTTTCGTCATACCTTATGGAAGAGTTATTTATGAACTTCTCAATAAGATAGGGATGATTAGGGGTGATGTTGTAGTTGAGTGGACTGAGAAGTTTGAATTTGTTGATCAGTTTTATTTGTTGTGTTGTTTTTTTACTAGCAATGAAATATTTCAATATTACTATTATTGTCTATTATTGTTTAACCCAGTTTTTATGATAAAGCGTTGAAAAAGTTATAAATGCGACAAAGATGATTTGAAGCAAGGTTTCTTATAGCTATATTACTTCGGTTCTAAAACAAACACGAGATAACAAATTTATTATTATTTTATAAATTAAAATAGGTGTTGACTTATAGTTGTGTTACTTCGGTTGTTTATAACACCGATGTAATATGTTTATTATCTTATTAATTAAATAAAACATTGCGCTCCCAGGATATAATCTCTCATTTTTTAGCTTGTTGGACATGAAATATCCGTCATGAAATATATTATTTGTTGTAGTGGGTGTTAATATTGATTATGATATTGTGATGATTTCTTAATATTGTTGCATGCCCAAATATATTGTTGTGAATCTTGTTGTAAATTACGACAAAATTCAATATCAATTTGTGAGGCAAATAATAGTAGCAACCAAAATAAATAGCCTACAACAATAATAATTCATACACAGACAATATAACAGAATAAGGTGAGAGAAAAGATGAAGGTTTGTTTACCCAGTTCGATTAAACGATCTACTCTGGGTAAGACTGCAGCTCTCCAGTTCACTATACTCAGAAAGTTGTTACAAAAGATTAAGTTACAAGAAAATACACTTCACCTTCAAGTTCCAAAGAAAAATCCTGAAGGC